TTAAAAAGCAGGATGAGCTGAAAATAAAAAGGATATAGTGTAAGAAACAGAAGGTGGATTGCTGAGGATGAGCACCAGTGGAGGAGCAAAGTGCTGTCACTTATCCCATAGCAGGGAACACAATAGAGTGCTGTTGGCAGTCCTCTGCATGCCAAATTAATACACTTCTGCCCAACTCCAGAAAGAATCCCACAAAATAAGCAAAGCAGAAGAGGTAGGATATGATCTCATGCGTATTGAGAGGGTTCAACAGTCACTTTTATGCTGGTTATTTTTTGCAGTCCCTGATAGTGATGACCCACTGAAATGCCACAAAATTGTGAGCGAGCTTTTGAGCCCAACAGACTAGTTGTTAAGAAAAGTGGAAGGAAATGGCTTAAACTTTAAAGCATGGAGGAGATTCATGGAGGAAAAGTTAGCAGTGCCTACTAGCAGTGCCTACTAGCCTACTACTATGCTCTGTCTCAGGGAAGCCCCAAGACATTTTGCTGCCTGAGGCAAAGGATAAAATGGCATCTCCTCCCAATATATGTACAAAAGACTGGTAGTTGGTCTCAATTCATTGCTGGCAAATAGAGAGTGCCTTCCACTGCACTTGAAGACAGCAGACTAGCTTAGGGTGTATAGAGCAGGAACACATAGTTCTGTTCATTCCCTGGCTCTCAGAATCTGCCACCTGAGGCTGCTGCCTAATGGTAGGGTCAGCCCTGTTTCGCCTCCACTGTCAGAGCCTCCCTTACCCGGGTTGTGCAGCAGCAATGGTGGATTCTGGCAAGATTTGATGAGATCTTGTAGAGTGCATAAGATCTCACAAAATTCCTAATTTACATTTTGAATTGTTATTTAACAAACAATTTTAAAGCTTTTTAATGCAACCTTAGATTGTGTCCTTAGAATTTATATTTTCTGTCAACTAACAGCTGGACATTCTTGTAGAGTTGTCAGATTTTCCATATTTTAACTGCATGGGGGAAATAGCTAGCTATAGCTGCAATTCAGCATTCCAGTTTTGCATGACCCAGCCACTTTTAAGTCCAATTGATTTCACTGCAAAATGCTTTAGCCATGTGCTTAAATCACCCATTACAATCAATAGTGTTTAACTTTGGCTGGATCATGCCCATTGTATTATTTTACTTTAGTCTAATTAACAAGAGAACCTCTACTTCTTAATGGCGGCGTTGGGGGGTTTTCGACAGGCTAAGTGCTTTTGCACTCAGCGCCTCCTTGTCCAGCCCCCATATTCCATGCCAGACCAAGAGCCAGGTACCAAGATGAACTGCGAGTGAAGTCCGTTTCTCTGGTCCCTGGGGGGAAATTACAAGGATGATTACCCTCAATCATCCTTGTTCTTCCTTCACCAACTATCTCCTGCTCTCGTAGGGGCTGCCTCCATTAAGGCAGAGCTGACCTGGAAGCCCACTACATTATATTTAATTCATATTTTAAGTTTTCTAAAGAGATGTTTTCTCCCCCCTTTTAGCAAAAAGCCAAAGCAGCAGCAACATGCTCCTCCACAACCGAAGTGTCTGACCCTAGCCTATGATGGAGATGTTGACATGTGACGTGGACCGAAATCCAAATGTAGACATCAACTGCCTTAACTGCTTCCCCACCCACCATTTTTTCCCCTTTCTCGGTTTGGATCTTATTTATGTTTTTTGGAAGCATCTCACAATTGCTGATACACATGGGCAGAATACAGTTTGCAAATGTAGCAGTTTTGCCTTTTGGTTTATCTGAAGAACATGGCACTCAAGGACCTTCTATAACTTGGCAACACTTTTCCCAAGGGGGACCTGAGAAATGCATCATTCCTGTTTATCAATGGGAATAAGGATGAACAAGTCAATCTGCAGGCTACTACTGATTTTTACCTTTAAAAGCATGACAATCCTGGGGGGAGGAAAGGTGACATTTACTGTAAAGGACAAGTTCGACATGGCATCATTACGCACTATATTAGTGCAAGCTTCTTTATTCTTCACCTCTTTCAGCAATGAGTTTTCTAGTGTTTACATTTGAGTTACATTTGAACTGTGAAACTGATTCATACGTTTCTCAAAAATGTCTGGAATTCCCTTCGTTTTCTAAGTTCTTGGGTTTCTTAGATGGGAAAACAATCTGATTTCCCTTCAGATTGAGATCAGAGGAGCAGGATAACAAGCACTGGGAAAAATTTTGCAGCACAAGACCCAGATCGCTTTGTAACCCTGTTTTTTTGGAAGAGGAAGAAGAAGAAAAAGAAACTGGCAGATGTTTTGATGACTAGGAAGATGAAAGTGCTCAAATATATATTTTAAATTAGTATTAAGCCATTTAGATACATTTTTAACCATTGAAAACTGTAATTCAGTTTGTTTAATATGAATTCTGCTTTTGTATTTTAAACTTTATTATCTGGAATATTTGTAAATTCTTTTTTTTTAAAGTTTATTCTTGACCTTATTTATTATACATATTAACACACACACACAAAGTACTGTTTGTAGAAGGCCTTGCGTTTTAAAAAGGTTTCCAAGTCGACATTCTGAACATCCTGAAGAAGATACGTGTTTGTAATAGTATATGTTGCAAGTAAGGAAGTGCCATCTTGTGGTATTGACATGTATTTATAAGCAAATAAAAAGCTAAAGAGTGTGGGAATGTTGACCCAGGCACACTGCAATCTCTGTCAGTAAAAGGCTTTCTTTTTGGTCCAACAGAATGAAAATCTCCTGATAACCTAATCATACCACATTCATGAGCCAAATGTATGAGAGAGGGATTCAAAATGGGTTCATGTTGCAATTATGTATGAAAAACCAGATTCAGTAAGTCTCAAGAGGTGAAGATGTTCTCCATTACAGGTCTGTTTCTCTGAATGAAGAACTTGTCTTTAGATGTTCTCAAAAGAGCTGCATGTGTCTCTCTACTACAGCAGGTATATCCACAATTGAAAGCTACTCTTCCCCCTGCATTGGCCATACCTGTCAACTTTTCCCTTTTTTTAATGGGAAATTCCCTTATTGCGAATAGGATTCCTCACAAGAGAAGGGAAAAGTTGACAGCTATGGCATTGGCCAATAAATAAATAAGCAGCCAACAGAAAATAATCTAGCTGTCATTACTAAGTTAAAAATAGTCCAACCACCACTCTGAATGGTTTTGGAGATTTTGGTGCTATTTCTCTGGAAAAAGAGGTGTCAGAACTCACCATGAATGCCTCTCTTGTTCTCTTATCATGGTAATGGTGCCCATCTAAGAGTTCTGAGTTCTGGTGATTTCCATCTGAAAAGAAGCCATAGATAGATATGAATTTTCTCCCTTAAGGCCAGAGCACTACAAGCAGGGATGTTGTTAGGTAGTTAAAATGACCTCACCAGCAAGCTGTTCTGGGAATTCTCCTGTCCCCGCTCAAGCCAATTTAAAGGGTATGTAGGGGGGTGAAGGGACAAAAGCCCCACTGTGCTAGCAGAAGTCCTTATGTAGGCTTCTGTGACTAGGACTAGTTTGTTGAATCCCCCCTCTTTTTCTAATGGGTAGTGGAAGAGAAAGGGCAGGAGATCTCATATCCATCTCAAAAGCCTGTTGGCCACATTCTGACAAGGCCCCTGCCTACAATGACACCTAATTTAGCACTATGATGGTTGAAAGGTCAGTTTGCTGCCTGGCTTCTCACCAGAGCAGAAGCAACCAGCCCCACACAACTCGATGGGTCGTAAATGGCACGGCTGCCCTCATCTTAGGTTTTATTCCACTCTTGAGCTTCAACTTATGCCACAGTGACTGCTCTGACAAAGGCAGAATGAATTTTGTCATAATATAATCCTTAAAAGATAGTAAAGAATTTCCTTTTGTCCATAACGGGCTCATGGGAAGACAATTACCATTAGCTAAATTGACATCTCTATTGTTCTGAAAGAAAGGAAAGATTGGCCCATTTATGGTTAGCGCAAGCTTTGCTAAATATTTAACCAAGTTCTACAAGATTGACGTTAATTTCCCTGGAACGTAATTTTATTACCATATGTGAGTGAAGGGGCAGATTATTTTAAAAGCAATGTCATTCTATTCTAAACTGCAAGGCAGTATATCAGATATTCACAACCCGACTTTTTGGATGTATTAAAGTTGTTACCCATCAGAATGGATTACGCTTCCGCACAATGTGAACAATTTTTGTTCCAAGTCAGTTAAGAGTCTAAGTGATCACTTTTGAATACAGTCTTTCAGTGGAGTGGTATTTGACTTTTCTTTAGCACTTATTCCAATGAAATCATTACCATGAACTCAACCTTCTTCCCAGCCACCTAAATTATAATAGCATTCTAATCTTCATGCATTCAATAAAAAAGTGCATGCTTATTACATTGGGTCTACACCTGCGGGCAGAATAAGATGGGAGAATACTGAAGTGGTAGAACAGAGTGCTCAACTTTACACTGTAGGTGAGTATTATAATTTCTCAAGGTGGTAGTGTAGAACAGGCAACTTCAAATTGGGAGAAATGCCACTTTTGTTTGTTCCCACTGCTCTCAAGGTGCTCTGCCTCGCTGAGCCAAGGTGCTTGGGCTTCCATCTAAGCCAGGCATGTCCAAAGTCCATTTTGGGGGCCCAATCCAGCCCACCGGTCGGTTTAATCCAGCCTCTGTCTGTGGCAGTTTATTTGTTGGGTAAAATCCTCAAAAAACCTCAAGAATTACAACCCTAAAAAAAGCTCAACAACTTCAATCCTAAAAATAGCTCCACAACTTTGGGGGGAAATCCTTAAACAAAGGTCAACAACTTTGGTTGGGCTTAGGGACAGTCAGGGCAACAATTGTATTGGCTGACCTTAATTTGTAGCAATTAATGATATTGTCTCATTATGTATTAGGTATATCTGCTTGAGAACACTTCTTGTACAAATGGCTCTCTCGTCACTCAGTTCATAACTTAAGCACAGAATCATAGAGTTGGAAGGGACTCTGAGAATCATCTAGTATTCTAGTACAACCCCCTGCAATGCAGGAATATGCAGCTGCCCCTTACGGGGAACGAACCCGCAACCTTGACATTATCAGCATCACGCTCAAACCAACTGGGCTATCCAACCATCCAAGAGCAGACCCCGAATTTGCACCTTCTTAGAGCCTTGTATGGAAGTGTCACCACCACCACTGAACAGCTCCTTGGCAGCCATTAATATAGGAACCTTCCAGCCCATGCAATTTTTCGTTGCCCATCAAAACCCTGCATTTCTATGGTATGTAGTTAGTTACCTGGGCTCCATTCCTCTCCTGCCTCCTGGTACTCATTTCCTTTCTCCAATTTTGCTGCTGTTCTGAACTCAGTTCCATTGAGGAGCCTAGGGAACAAACACATCACTATGTGATGTACAGCCTCGTACAAGAAAGCCTCAATTCTCTCTCTAACTTTTCTGTTTCTAAGCTTAGCTACACTGGTGCCACTGACCCGCTCTTATCCAACTCCTCTCATTTTTAACAATTGGGGCGCCCACTTGTCTGTCTGGCATCTCTCGCCATACATTTTCCTCCATATTTGGCATGTGAGATTTCCTACCTCCAGTTGCCCTCTTTCATTCTGTAACAAGCCTCCTATTAATCCAAAATCAATCAACCTGTCTGTCTTTCTGTCTGTGTGTCTTGATTCTGAACCTTGGCTTGTCCTCTGAATACTCATTTCCTAGTATGCAGTATAATATCCCCAAGGCAAACAAGACTCTAAGCTAAAGATCTCATTGCATGTGTCCGCCGAGTACACACGTACATATTTGTCGCCATGCACACACGTAATGGAAAACATCTAGTAATATTACCACAATAAGAATAAATAATGTCCCTGCAAGTAGAAAGGTAGTATATCAGGGGGAAAGATTATAGTCCTAGTCCAGGCCTGTGCTTTAAAAAAAATCCTGTTTTTAAAATAGGGAAACATTCAAAAATGGGTATGAAATAGAGTGGTCCACCTCCATCACCTCACCTCATTCTGTTGCACGTGTAGACAAGTCCTGTCAGCACCCCTTGTTACTAGTGGCCTCTTGAATGTGGATAAGGAATGGCATATATGAAATCTCAGTTTTGAGTAGTTATTAGTGATTATCACAGTTCTTATTTAGTTTTCCTATGTATTTTAGTGCCTACAGTTATATTTCAGTCAAATGCATTATACCCTCGTTTAAAAAATACGGCTGCTCCTGTATCTTGAATAATGAATTCTACTGAAGAAATGGCTACAAGCAAATATTTCCACTTTGATAAATGTACTTAGTTTTGCCAGTTAACACACTCAGTTACAGAAGAATGCAAAACTGGCTTGGGCAAAAATGTGGGTTAAAAGTTTACAGGATGACTATCCATTTGGAAAAGCTATTTGCACGGAATAGGAAGCAAAAATCAATGTTACTGTTTTTTTCCTCCTGGTAAATACAATAACTTCAACCAAAGAGGTACAATTATTTCTGAATTTAATACAATGGCAAAACTCCTACTTATCCCAGTAGAGTAATAATTTTCCTCTGAATGCGAGTGAGAGAGAATTCTTTAAAGTTTATTCCTAATGCAGGCATTTCACTTGTGAGGGGAGAACCATTTAATACAAATTCATTATGCTTTAATCAGCCATTAGTTCAGGCAGATGGGATGTCCAAAGGATAGTAGAAAAGGAATGCTTTTCACTTTTTCAAATTGCTCTTAAAGGCATTGCTAGGATACTGGCATTCCATCCCACTTGTGTGCGATGTGCAATCGATGGTTTGTAGGCGCATCTCTTAAAGAGCCCAATTTATAGGAAAGATCTTCCATTTCAACCCAGCCCCTGCATTCTATTAGTAAAATAGCCACAGTGTTTTCTTAATGCGTGTCACAGGAGTTCAAATAAGTTTGAATCTACACCAAGGGGAGTTTACATGTGTGTAGCTAATGCCTATTGGCAGCCAGCACACTAACAGCAAAGGCCAATGTGTTCATTTGGCATTTTGAGCCTCTGTTCGCTCAAGCCATTAAATGGCTTCCATTGATTTCAGAAGAGCTGACTCAGGGCTTGGTGACCTGCAATTTATTGCTCAGTTGCAGTTTTTTGTCTTCAGAGCTCCTCGCAGCCGTGTTAGCTAATCAATCCTCCAAACACCTCTGCGCAGTCGGTAAGTAATACAACTTAAATAATTAAGTAATTTGGATTTGCCATTTTCCACCTTTCTTTGTTTAAGAGGTGGCTGAATCAGTTAAGACAAGCGATGATGGATGACTTATAGATCCCTGGGAGAGCAAAAACGCCAGCTGTAGGGAAAAGTACCAGGGCTGATTTCCACACAATAGCAAAGCTTGGGGGGGGGGGAGGCATATTTGCAGGTACCCAGAGGGATGTGGAAGTGGGCCTTGTAAATTTAGATCTGAGACTGACCATGGAGCCAAGCCTTCATTTCAGATTCCTGCATCGGACCACACACAGCCAGCTGGGCAATGGAGTGCTCAGAAAGGAATGCAGAGTGAGTTCCTCCAGGGAACTAAAGATTGAAAATCCTCAACCAGGCATTCATACTGCACGCCCTCCCACCATGTTAACCCACAGACATTGGCATGCGTATATGAAATGCAGGAGATTTGGAGATAATTTGCAATACTGAAATGCTGTTTCTTAACCATCAAACTATATGCTTAAAGATCGGAACGTTGTTGAAATTTGGGAGCTGGGATAAAGAGTAACTTCATTGTTACTTCTTCCATTCAATGAAGAGCTGAAAGTTTTATTTTTGTCAATGCCTTTCAAAAAATGGCATAGTCTATGCACCTGGACTGGAGAGAGATTATATTGACAATTCTATGATGGCTAGATGCGAGAATGTCTATTGATTTGTTGTTGCTCCTGAAGAAGCAAATGGAAGTATATATCAGATATATACCGTTTTGATTACTCCAACTCTTTCTCCCCAATCTCCAATCTTAGTCTGATGTCCCAAGTTCTCCTAGGCTTCCCTACAATGCAGGCAAGGGGGCCATTGCTATACATCAGAACTCCCTTTAACAGTGTCATAAAGAGGGATTTTCAGCATATGTAGATTGTGCAACACCCTATATTATTAACATTAGGCATGTAAGCAATGCTAGAATGCAATAACGAGGGGTGTGCATTGGTTATGCACATGATCTGAATAGTGAGGTGTATTGAGGTGGGGTGGTTTATTTTTGAGGGTGTGGGTCTTCCTCTTCTGTGTCAAAGCACAATGTCAATAACTTCCCTCCAGTTGGATCAGGGCTGCTACAAAGCCTTGTGTTGCTTTGTCCTTTCAGTATTTTTCTGTACCTTATAGAAAGCTTTACATGCTTTTCTATATCTCTATGTTCCTTCGGGTCCATGGGCTTTTCAAGCAGTGAGGTCATCCAAAAGTTGCCTGTTAAAAAGCCTCTTTTTAAAATCCTACATCTCTCTGCTTTAACAACAAAACCCAGAGCTCTTCAGAAGTCCACTCTGTGTTCTAAACATCATCATATTGTAAGGCCTGTTGTAGGACAGAAACAAGCACTGGAAAAACCAGTGTGAAGCTGCAAGGTTTTAAAAAAATGTACAGCCAATAATACACACCATTTAGCCACCTCTTAATTATTCTAAGGTGAGAGAGAGACAAACCCCTGCTCTCCCTTTGCTGTAATGCAGGGACGTCCAACTCTCAATAGACTGCAATCGACTCACAGTGTAAAAAAACTGGCAGTGATCTACCCAAAGTTGTGCAGCTTTTTTTAGGAAGCCAAAGTTGTGGAGCTTGAGCTTTTTTTAGAAAGCCAAAGTTGGGGGGGGGGTTTCCTTTCTTTTTTTTTTTGCTTTTTTGTAAGGAGATCGCTGAGGGGCCAGAGGTCAACCAAGATCTACCAGGAACACTCCGTGATCTACCAGTAGATCACGATCTACCTGTTGGACATGCCTGCAATGGATTATGGAAGAAAGTGAATCCCTTTTAACTTCCCCTGCAAAAGTGACCTGGACCCATTTGTCTGCAATTTGGAAGGCTTAATGCACTCTGGAGGGCTCTCCAAGGCCTGTACATTTCATCCACTTTGGCCAAAAGGTTTAGAGTTATAGTCATTTTCAGATTCCTTATTATAGTGAATGGAGGGACACAGAGCTTCATATTACAGTGGCACCTCGGCTTACAGACGCTTCAGGTTACAGACTCCACTAACCCAGAAATAGTACCTCGGGTTAAGAACTTTGCTTCAGGATGAGAACAGAAATCGCGCACCAGTGGCGTGGCGGCAGTGGGAGGCCCCATTAGCTAAAGTGGTACCTCAGGTTAAGAACAGACCTCCAGAACAAATTAAGTTCTTAACCCGAGGTACCACTGTATACAGAGTGGCTGAGAACACAAATTAGTGATAAAAGTGCGAGAGCGTGTGTAGCAAATCAGAAACAAGTAAGGTTTTTTCAAAAAACACAGATACAGTGGTACCTCGGGTTAAGTACTTAATTCATGCCAGAGGTCTGTTCTTAACCTGAAACTGTTCTTAACCTGAAGCACCACTTTAGCTAATGGGGCCTCCTGCTGCTGCCATGCCACCGGAGCACAATTTCTATTCTCATCCTGAAGCAAAGTTCTTAACCCGAGGTATTATTTCTGGGTTAGCGGAGTCAGTAACCTGAAGCTTATGTAACCCGAGGTACCACTATAAAAATAAGGTGGATGTTGGGGGGGTCAGTGCACTCCTCCCCTGGGAATAACATGAATTATATGTATTCCTTTACAAGAAAGAGAAAAGGGTAAGCTCTGGTTGAAAATGTAAAAATCACAGAAGGCAAAAATGTGTTTCTTTTTTGTGTTTAAAAGGAATCCTAAGAAATTCATTCCTCTCTTAGATCCATGGATACAAAAGAAATATATAGAAAGGACTTCCTTCTCTTACACTTCCACAGGCACCTTCATTCATCACACCTAGAATCCGCACCAGCAGACAATATTCCACTGGACAAATCTTGGTCTTCACTGGCCTCTTTGTAATGTGGAAAGGGGTGGAAACACTGAATCCACACACAATGCAGAACCCTCCTATTTCAGAGAATCAAAGCCTTCCTTTTCATTGGCCTCAGACAAGGTTAAAAAC